ATGTGGCCACAGCACCAGCCAGAGCGAGAGGGCACAGGGCCTCAGGCCTGCCGCTGCCTCCTGGTGACTGAGATTCAGCCTGCTGGCCCTATTCCCTCAGCAGTGGGTCTCGCTGGCTTTTGTGGAAGCCTCTTGGAGGGGATGGGGTCTGCCCACCCCCAGGCTGCTGAAGGTTAAATCAGTGGAGGCCAAATGCTGGTCTGTGGCTAGGCTTTGTCAGCCACCAGCGGGATAGAAAAAATTAAAAAAAAAATTAAAAAGGAAATTTTCATCATGTCAAAATGATTCAGTTTAAATGTCTGCCACTATGTTTATCCTTTTTCACCTTAAAATAAATCTTTTACGAAGGAATGGTAATAGTAAATACATAGCTGTTGTGTTTAAAAATGCTCTTACATAATAAAATAAAGAAGTACAACGTGGGCCAGCCTGTAGCGCAGTGGTTAAGTGTCGAGCAGAGGAAGCCGTATCCCATGTGGCTGACCAGGGTTTGAATCCTGGCCTAGACCACCTCGAAAACATGCTGGATACAGGAATTCCCATGATCCTGAGGGTTGGAGGATTGAAAAATGAGAATTGAGGCATGACCAGGTGCTACTGTGGGGGAGGTCCTCTCTTCTCTGCCTCTCTCTCTCTCTCTCTCTCTCTCTGTCTCTCTCTCACATTTGTGTATGAGGCCTCTGGCAAAAGAAAAAAAAAGCACAGCTCTTTTTTCTATGTAATCTGTTATTCACCTCAAATGTTCTTCATTTTAGCCTATGAAATACTGTTTTAGAATGTTGGGTTTTGAAGGAAAAGTAGGAGTTTGGTAGTTAGGATGGGATGAGTGGATGAGTGGTGGGCAAGAGTAACAGTATTTGCAAGGCCCAGAAGCACAAGAGGCCAATGTGTTTTCATGAAGTGGAAACCTGTGTCACTGAAGCCTAAAAGTACAGGCAGGGAGTAGAGGAGAGATGCTGGCCAGTTGGGGACAGTGCACTGAGGAGGGTTTCATCTCTGTAGGTATCAGCAGGTCCCAGAGACCTCGCCAGAGGATAATCTGATCAATTGTATGTTTTCTGCAACTTAACTCCAGGCAGCGTGGCGGGAGAGGTGGTGTCAAGAATGCCTGGGAGGAAGGGCTTTCTAGGCATCGTGGACCGTTTGAGTAGATACGGAGTTCAGGGAGGTGTTTGGTGCAGAGCTCCCTTGACCCAGATGGGTCCCAGAGCAAGAATGTGTTTTACAAATGTGGAAACTGAGGTATTTACATGGCTGATGTTTTGCAAACTGTGATTCTTTCTTCCCTAACCTTCCTGCACTGAGCTTTGTAAACTATAGGTTAAAAACATAACAGACTTGGGACCAGCAGGTGGCATGGTGGTTAAGGTGCTAGCCCACCGTGGTTAGAGTCCTGGGCCTGGTGACTTGAGAATCATGCTGGGTGGGGACCAACAGATGGCATATTGGTTACATTGCTGGACTCCCATGTAGCTGACCGGGGTTTGAGCCCTGGACCCAGTGCCTTAAAACTCATGCTGGGTGCCTGTGTGTGTTTGCGTGCCTAAAATCCTGAGAAGAGAATGGAAGAGAAGGGATTGCAGCATGGCCGTCCCCCTGGGGGTGTGTGTGTGTGATTTTTCTCTTTCTGTCTCTCTGGCAAGTGCATGCACCCTATAGCAAAG